CATTATCTTCCATAATAATCAAGAGGACAAGTTTCGTTTCTTTGGTTTTTGGTTTCTTCTTTTTCCTCCTCTGTTGAAAGCTACATATTCGTAGAAGTAGAAAAAAAAACTGTAATTATTTCATTGTTTTCATTTTCTATCAGAATTATTAATCTTCTCTATTATCTGAGTTTGTCATGATCATGAGAAATAAGAAAAACAAACAATTTTAACTGTCTCATACTCTTTACTAAGGTGAGTGTTGTGGTAGGGAATCCATCATGGAATCAATCTGCAGGGATCATCTTTATCTTCCAGCTTAGCGTATTAACTTTTTTATCTAATATCCTTGTCTTTTTTTTCATTCCCTTTCAACCATTAACTCCCAGCCATTGGTCAAGAAAATGAGCTTACAATTATGACTTTGAATCTAATTGCAACTGAATTGTCTTCAACTTTGGTTGTAGACCAAAAGTAAGATGATCAATTGATGAAATCAATTTCAAATTCTGGGAAAGAAGAGCAAACTTTTAATACCATTATAATCAGTACAATAATCGCAACTTAATTGCTATTAAGCAAAAACGCACAATTAGTCTTGGAATTTGTGATTACTAATGAAAATGATGATACAAGAACCTCTATTGTGATTATATGTTTCCATTTGAGCTTTCATTTTGAATGAAGATATCATTTCATGGTCATTGAATTGATCACAGTTTCAGTTGAAATCTCTTGTCCACTGACGGATAATTAGAAGGCGAAAATTTTAATCATTTAATTAATCAATAGGTTAAATTTATATTGTATTATTTGTATTGGGTTGAATAGTGGATAGATATACAATATACTGAAACTAATTGACAGAGATAATTATCAGGGAGAAAAAGGCAAAATTAATGATGTGAAAGTTAATGATGATTTACTTAAATATATTGGCTGGTTAATAGTTGATCAATAAACCATTTCCAAAAGGATAAAAGTTAACTATTAATACACAATTTCGTAACAATGTAATGGTTAACTACATCATTAACTAATCAGCAAAGTTGAGTGGATGTTAATTAATCAAATTAAAAGTAATAAACGTTTCAATATTGTTTCAACTTTTCAACTTGAGCCTTTCAGGTCACTAATTTATTATGATCTAGATTAACCTTTTCCATGTGAAACGGTTTTGAGAGAGAGAGAGAGATGTCCCAATGATCAGTGTCCAGTTTGTTTACATTAACCGAGTATATAAAAACCATTGTAATGGTTTGTTGTCCTTGTTAGATTCTGATTCTGATTCTGATGGCAGATCATCAAAATCAACATGATGATCATTTCTCATTATACCAACATCAACATCAAATTAAACCATTAGCAAGACTTAAGGAGGATTCATTGTGTTCATTGTCAAAAGCAATAATCATATGTGTATGTCTTCAATGATACAACAATAAAACAGTAACTACAAGATATCATGATAATGAATAAACTCAAGAGACTCTAAATGAAGTGACCAGAATGAAAGACAAAAAAAATAGCCAAAAATCAGATTATTTATAACATGACCATTTAATGGATTACCTTATTCCTTTTATCATAATGGTCATCACATTATTAATATAAGTGTAACATCAATAGTATATCAATAGTTATCTGTATGATATTTTTATTCCAAAGATATTGAGAATATCAAGTTATCTAAATACATCATGAATATTATGATAACTTTTCTGTTGTTGGAGGAAAAACAAAATACTATCGTTAACTCATCACAATCAAAGTAAATTTATCATGATTTCATTTGTATACATAACAAATACTACAAATTAATAGTTAATGTGGATAAAGTTAATTGTTTGCTCATCATCACCTCTTATATTATCATCTGATAATTGAATCATTTTTGTCAACCAACAAATTATTGTAATAACGATTATTTTACACGTTATTAATTTTTATCATGATAATATTTTTCTCAACCAGAGAAATGATATTAAATTTGAATTTGCATCCCAACTCATGTATATGAAGTATATATATAAACTTTTTTTTTCTTCATCACTCAAACTGAATTCAGAACTTTTTTCATTCTTATTTTTTGCTGAACTCAATTTTCAGGTATATGTATGTAAATTGAATGAAGATACACTGAACTAAATCAGAATCTGAAAGTCAGGGGAACGAATCAATAAATTATCATTAATATTATATACATGAGATGCTATTTAAATGTTCATTGAAATGTTCAATTCTATTCAGTTGTTGGTTTTCATTGAGAGAATTTAAAAATCATAGTGAATAACTAAATCAACAGAATTTTCTCTCTCTTTCTGTTGATTCAATCTTTAAATTTTGATTGTTTTTTCATTCTTCAGATTTTTCCATAGGAATACAAGAGTTACCATGTAACCTTTTTTATTTTATTTTCTCTTGTTTCTTGTCCATTGAATTTCATACATTGAATAAATATACTCAGGGTGATGATAAATATTACATGAGATGCTGATGATGAACTTTTTTTTTCTTTCTCTCTTTTTGTCTTCCCATGAAAAGTAAGAAACAAAACAAAAAGGTAGATACAAACCATTGGGTGTATTCAGTTAATAATCTATCGTTGATATAATGCCGATGACTACGTTATGAATATTATTTGTTCATCAATAAAATATCATTATGAATGAGAATTGTATTAGTTTTCTCCTCGAATTCAAACATTCATGAACTCAGACGAGAAAAATTGATATAACATGAAATTCATTGTTAACAGGGTAACCGAATATACTTTTTCATTCTTGTCATTTTTTTCCTTCTGTGTGTGTGTGTATGTGTTTGTTTGTTGTTGTTGTAATAGTTTCTCAATGGATTGAAAAGTCAAACCGAATGTCCAGTAAAAAGAACTGGACAATAAAATAGATTTTGTTTCTCGAACTTTTTTTCTGCTTTTTCAACAATTTTCTTCTATTCGTTTTCTTTTACTTCTCTATTCTTGCTCCTTCGATCGGCTGATCCTTTTTTTCTATTACCAAGTAATGACAAAAATACAAGGGAAAGAAGAGCGAGAGAAAAAAAAATCTATTCTTATGTCTGCAATAATTCATTTAGTTTTCAGGACACAATTGCATGCGATTCTTACTTACCTGTTTTATATTGAATCCATGACAATTGAATCATTACATGAACCAGAATCCGTGATTTTACTCTGAATATATTCAATATTTCATTAGGTTAAAGATGCTTATCATGCTAATCATTATCATATTGATTATCTTCATCATTTTACCTATTTACAGGGTAGAAAATTCATCGTACAGACTAAAAGAAAAGATGAGAACAAGGTAAATGCTGAGTAGATCTTAAGGAAAAGAAAACTCTTGTCATCAAATTGATAAAGAAGAAGAAAGTTTTCCTCTTTGTTTCGATTTTCAGTTGATCGAATTGATTCAATTGTCATTTTCCATAGAATTTTTTTTCTCTTCTCAGTAAAATGCTTCGTTCATCCACATGTAATACAAATCCACACTGAAGTATATAGATATTTTCGATTCAAATAGGCGATAAAATGTTTAATTGCAGTTCCAAGCTCGACTACTATCAAAATCATTGAATTCTTAATATTGTTTTATCTTGGTTAACTTTTCATTCAATTCTATAGCAATTAAAATTTTCCATCTCTTTTTTTCACTTAGCTACTCATTAGCAAAATCTTGCTCATTGTTTTCATACAGAATTGTTTTCCACAATTTAAAACAATCATTATCTTTATTGTTATCATCGTTTTATGGTAATTATCATGCTAATTAGTTTTGATAAATAATCATCATCAATATCAGTTTATCACTGAATAATTAATATTTCTCCCATAAAACTAACCAATTTAATATTATGAACTTTTCAGCACTATGAAATTTAAGTACATATAAAAATAATTGCACTATTAGAATGAATTTAACCCATATAATTGTGTGTTGACTGAATTTACTTATTAAAATTAGCATGATGATCCAATTGAAATGTAAACAGAAAAAGTTATTACCTTGAAAAGTTTTAATTACTTGTATTATTTTCAATGATTACTATTGACTTTACATGAGCCGATGAGTACGAGTACATGATTTAGGGTTAAAAGAGTATATAAATAAGGTGAATAAAGGAGAGAAGAAGATCTAATTAGTCTGATAGATTTACATTTGAAAAGAATGAAAGAAATAAAATGAAAATAATTCGAAAATAAAATGAAGATAAATACTACAGAGAATGTGAGACAGAGAAAAGATATCAATGTTATCTGTTAAAAGTTCAATTCAGTTCTGTGGCTTTTTTTTTCTTCCTTCTACTTAATAAGCTTACTGATGATTATGAGAAAATTTAATGCTGATAGAAAGATTGAGAGAAAGTAAGAAATTACAAAAATATAGTACGGAAAAAAAGTTCAGTTGAGATAATCAGGGTAACTCCTTTAAATCAGTTGAATCTAATTCGCAAATAAGGAAAAACATGCTGATGCACATCAGTAAAGTTCAATTAAAATTTCAAGTGATTCAAAGAGATAAGAGTTGATAAAGAAAAAGAAATAAAGAAATGTCATCAACAAATACGATTCTTCTCTTTTTTTTCAGAGGGAAAGGTGATGGAAGGAGGATAAAAGTTCATCATCATCATCATCATGAAATTGAGATATTAAATAAATATAACAATAACAGAGAAAGGAAAAAGTTGATTCTGAAAATGATGGAAATGAAATTGACTTTGAGGTGAAACCTTTAGGTTAACATTATTTTTATGTATCTGAGTGTCTTGTGTTTCTGATGGTTGACATACAATGTTACCCTCTAATAACGGTAATATTATCATCATAATCATCATCATCATCATCATCATCATCATCATCATCATTTTCATCCAGGTTCCCATGAGTAAATCATGAACAACAAAAAAATTGTTGAAACAGATGATAGTAAAAGTATATATATAATATTATATATATACTATTGTATATTATGTTATCATATTGTTATGTACAAATTGAGAGTCAAAAAAAAGGTATCATGATAAAAGGAAACATTATTTATATAAGGAATTGAAAGGAAACTGAATTTAAAAAAAAAATCAACAAAGAAAAACGAAAGCAAAAAGAAATAAGTTTCTTTTTCCCGCCAAATAATTAATATAATAACAATTGATAATAATTTATTATAATAATAATAATAATATCTAATTGTAAAGAATTGACCAATTTAGTGTTTTTTATTAATCTAATCTGGTACTAATCAGATTTGATTACATTTTCGCTTGTAAATTGCTAATGTAACTGTTTGGAATTTTATTTTTTATTTTCCTTCACATGAGATGTGAGATATTTTTATGAGACTTATATTTAAAGTTTCATGGATAATTAATGGATGATCATGATGGCGGAATAATTCATGTGTAAATGTATACATATTTATATATATAATATTTGTTTCTCCAATTGAGTTGTTAATTGTCAATTGGTTTGACAGGTTGAAAAGTCTATTATTATTTTGCCAATCATGTTCGATGAAAATCTCCTTTCAAGATTCGGTAAAAAGTTCGTTTATAATGTTGATTAGCCATCGCATAACAAAATGGATTAACTGGTGAATTAACATAACAGAGAAAATAAGTGAAATAAAACCAATGATGATTAACACAATTCTTACAAAATCCTTCGATTAAAGCATTTATATGATATGGTGTCCAACAGATAACAAATGCACCCAAAATGAATGAGATTGTTCTGAGCGCTTTTCGAGCTCGATTTTCCGATTTAGATTTTTGCCTTTTCTCCTTATTCTTTTTCCTACCATTTCGAAGACGCTTCGATAATTTTAACACCATGGCACCTTTATCATCTTCCTCATCTTCTGCTGCTTGTATTCCATTACCACCATTACCTGTTGTTGGTGTTGCTCTAATTTCACCTTCCATCGTTTTAATCTCTCTTTTAGATTCATCAATGTCCAATTGATCATCTCCATCATCTCCATCGAAATCATCATCATCACCTAAACTACTGATACACTTTCGTAGCTGTCGATTTGGTAATTCGTTAACTTTATCATCATTTGATTCGATAACTAAAGCTATCTCACCTGAACGAGGGTCACATATATTAATTGCTGAATCTTTACCATCCTCATTGACACAGTTAGTTGATTGTTGCAATGATCTTGGTGATATAATGTTATCCTTAACTTGTTGCAATGTTTTATCATTATTAGCAACCAATTGGGAATCACAATGGGTCAAATTGTCACTGATGTAATTTAATTCAGCTATTGATTTCTTTGATTCAATTGGCAATGATTTAGGTGGTTCTGGTCTTGGTTGTTGAGATGTTGATGGCTGATTGTTGACTTGATGTTTACTCTGTTTATTTGAGTGTTTACTTTTATTTGATGGAAAAGGCGGAATATTTAATTTATGAGTTTGTGAACAGGCTAAAGGTGAACGAGGTATTAATACCGTTGGTTGTGACACTTTATTTGATTCTTTACTTTTACTTTTACTCTCACTCTTTTTATTACCCTTATCGTTACTATTACTCCTTTTATCACCTCGGGTTCGACCACCATCACAAGTACCAGTTCCCCCGCTACTTTTAGAGCTCTTAACATTTTTACTAACAACGACTACTGGTTGAGGGGAACACTCTTCATCTGAGTCGAAAATGGGTGAACTCGAACGATCCTGGTCTGAATTATTTGCTCCACCATCATTTTGAGCGGCTGTCGCTACTGAGCCAGTGGTATTTTCCTTACCCTCTTTAGCGTTCACATTAAAACTTGTAGTTTGTCCATATGCTCTTATACCTTTACCCTGAAGTTCACCTGAACCCTCAGTGTAAACACTGGCGTTTGGACCAACGCAAGATCCACCAGTACCTGATGGGACAGTTAAATTTGTTCCAGGTTTAGGTTTATCTTGACTTAATAGAGTACTTTGGGTCTTTGAAAGAGCCATTCCTCTACCCACTCCTCCTTTTCCATCAACTCCGCCGCCATAATTTCCACCACCACCACCGCCACCAGGGCCACGAGTTAAAGTGACAAGAGATTGAACTTTTTTCGCTTTTTCTTCGGATTTTTTGGCCATCTCTCGAGCGGTTTTATAAATTTCACCATAAAGTACAAACAGGATAACAAGGGTAACATAAAAGTAGCCAATAATTAGCGACGTATTGAAAACTTGATCTTTCAAAAATTGTACTGCACATTCACCTGGGGCAAGATCACGATAACCGATAAAATGTTCCCAGCCCATAATGGAAGTAAAAAATAATAATGTTGGTACAATCCATGTAATTAGAACCATGTAGATAACTTTTTTCTTGGTTCGCCAGTTACGATACTTGGCTGGTATTTTAACTGAACAATAACGATCGATGGTAATTAAAAGGACCGTGTAAATGGAAACCAGGCAAACAGTATGATCAACGGATAACCAAAGGTCACATGGAGTTGGACCAAGTTTCCATGTACCCTGTAAAATGTAGATCGCAAATATTGGCATAGAAAAAAATCCTATACATAAATCGGATATTGCAAGAGAAACGATAAAATAGTTACTTGGCTGTCGAATTTGTCTATCAACAACAAACGCTGTTAGAACTAAAATGTTACCAAGTATTGTGATCACACTGAGAATAGCGATGGACGTTGCAATAAAAATGGTCATCCAAAGGTTAAATGGTGGACCGATAGCACTTTCATCACCAGAATCGGTTAAACGATCACGTATACTAGTAAAATTATCCGAATCAAAGGAAGATAATGAAGATGATGCTGATAGGGTTATATCGGTTAGAGAAGAGGAAACGATAACAAGTGATGAAGAAAGTGAAAGTTTTGCAGATGAAATATTGGAAGTTGATAACTTAGAGGTTGATAAGGCGACTACTGATGATGAAGATGGTGATGAGAAGGATGAACTTGACGTTTCAATGGAAGATGATGATGATGATGAAGATGATGAAGGTAATGATGAGGGTGATGAGGGTAAAAGATCATCAGCACATCCATACCTATCATAAGTAACAGTTGAATTGTTCCAAGATGAACATGGTGTTAAATTGAATATCATCACATTATAATCCATAAAATCCATGGTTGAATGCTAATCGTTGGTATTAACGATTATCAATACATTTCACTAATGATAATGATCAATAAAAAGATGATAATGTAAACAAAGAAGACGATGATGATAATGATCCTTATGGATTTATAACTATTGTATAAAAATGAATATGATGATGAGCTTTTCTAATGGTAATTTATGAATGAATAATAATATTAATTTGCTGAGTTGTGAAGATGAAACTTTTTTGCTGGTCCACAATTGAAACTTTGGCACAGAAAAAAAAAACTTTTCAATGGATTAAAGTTATGAATTATTTTGGCTTATTCTTTCAGATGGAGTGATATATAACAGGAGAAACACTGAAACTTAAGTAATATCACAATTATGATTGGTAAAATTTTCATCATGTTAACATTTTCTACTTGATTATTGAAAGAAAATCATAATGTAGATGATGGAGATGATGATTATAATGACGTTTATATTGTCTCGTATTCCCGAATATTAGATAACTTTTTTTTGTTTTGGTTATTTTCTTGTTGAAAGTTTTAACACTTTATCAATAATAAATATCAATTAGACCGATGGGAGTTGAGAAACTGGGAATGATTATATTTTCATCACTTTGTTTGTATTCATGTTTTGTTTCCTGGTGAATTTGATGAATGATTGGGAAAGAGAAGGTGTAATTTTTAACACTGTTTCTTTATCTTCTTCTTTCTCTTTCTCTCTCTTTCACTCATTTATATGATTTTACACTTTATCTTCTTCATAGTCTTCCTCTTTTCCATCTCTCTCTCTCTCTCTCTCCTTTTCTCTCTCAAACTTTTGTCAAGTTCTTTTCACCACCATCATCATCATTATTCTCTCATCACTAATGTTAACAGCATCTCATGGTAATGATCTTGTAGAAAATTTTTAGTACATTTTGTAGCAGAGAGAAATAAAGAGAGAGCGAGAGTGAGAGAGAGATGAGGAAGAAATGAACAGAGATGAAAAGGAGAAATTCAATCTGAACAAGAATAAAATGATTGAGACAAATTTCCATGGGAGAGAGAGAGAGAGGTGGTAAAGGGAGCTTGTGGGAGTAAAATAGACTCTCTCTCTGTTGATTCTCGAACTCATGAGAAGGCGTTCTCAATGGAGGATGACGTAAAAGTTTCAGTATAATATGTTGAATGGTTACTGCTTGTTGGTATTAGTGTTCAATTCTGAGCATGGCTACAGGGTGGAAACTTTTTTCCACTTCCCTTTTAACTTTTGTCTCCTTCATCTCCAGTTCCCAGGAAATTCAGTATGAATATTATCAATTCGATGGTGGTTTGGAAATACTTTTTCTTGAATAATGTTTCTTTCATGTTGCAACCTTAATTCTTGCTCTTTTCAATACAATTTCTCTTAGAAACATGGGAACATTATTTATATACAGAAAAACTCAATACATTTTTACGGTTAAATTCGTTTTTTCATCAGCTTGGATTCTTTGAGAAGGAGAACAAAAATTTGAAGATGAATGAAGAAGTGAAAAAGGTAAATAAAGTGATGGAGATGGTGTTGAAAGTAGAGGAATCCAAGAGCTCACCCAAATGTAAATCTCATTGAGACGATAAGTCATAATACTAATGCTCATCATTTTTGGTAACGATTTATTAATAGCCCATATGATAGTGAATTATATGCATGGATGATAATGATTATGGTAAAATTATTGAATATAATATGCAAACAAGAATCTAATGATTAATGAAGAGAAAAATACACTTGTAATAGCTTAAATACGTTGAATATTAATCAACATGGAAAAGTTTGGTAATATTAAGAGAGAGAGAAGAGAAGTAAAAAATTTTCTCTTCAAGTTCCCATTGTTCAGAGTAATATTAATATCGGTTAGGTTAGATGGAGAAAAAAAAGTTCGTGATGAGTTTAATAATCGACTTGTTGGTTAATGATTTTTCATTATCAATTAATTGATTTTCGTAAGACAGAAATGGATTAATATGATTGTGTCGCTGGTATTTTCTCATGGGATGATAATCCAACATTGACAATTGCGAGTAAACGAGCGAGAAAAACCATAAAGTCAATGCCAAGAGTGTCAAAAAAGGATAGAACAATTTACTGGAGTGATATTGTTCCATGTTCCAAATATTGAAAGTTCAGTAGATTTCATGTGGATAGTGAAAGAGACAGAGAAAGTTTTATCAAGGATATTGGAACAAGATAAAAGCTCAGCATCATGACGATGATGAATTAATGGAGATGAATGTCAAATGATGAAAAGACGCTTTTTCTCAATTGATGCTCTCTTAGTCTACTTTATTTTTACGATTTACGAATTTCAACTTTCTATCTTGCTCTCTATGTGATCATCACTTCCCATGTTTCTATGTCTGACTATTTCATCATGATCATGTTTTCATCGGATGTTCAAAGTTGACAAATAAATTGTCTGAATGTTTGGAAATTTGATCGAGAATATTACAATCTGACTTTCATTGTGTAAGTTCAATTGGTAGAAAAATACATTGAACAATTTGCATATAATAATAACACCAAGTATCAACTTTTTTTTCACTTCCTTATAGTTTTTATCAATCCATGGTTGAACTATTTAGGAAACGGAAATTATAAAGATAAACGAAAATTTGAATATTTCGAATACTTTGGTTTAACGAAAAATTAATATAAAGGGTTCGACATTGGTTGTGATAAGAAGCAACGATAAACAAGAACAAGTAGGACGAATTCAAATTATTTTGGAACAATATAAATATAAGAGATGTTTACATGAGATTCGATAGGAAATTGTTGAAATTTTCTTGGCAAAACTTGTGATGTAATAAATTATTAGCGAAAACTGGCACGATAGAAATATTGTAATATAAACCAGAATTTTTCGCTACAACTTAAACAGCGATAGTAATATAAACCAATTGTGTTGGAAAGAAGAGGAAAAAAGTGATAATAAAGTAAAACTATTTACAAATGTCGAAAAAGTTGCAAGATGAAAAATTCTGTAAACATGAGATGAGACAAATTCAAATTTTCTTTCCGAAAGTTGAATATGATAAATTTTGAGTTATTATTATTCTCTATTTTTCTTTTATGTCACATAAAGAAGGTGGAAAAAAAAGGTTTACCATTAAATAGAAACCAAGAAGAGAGCGGTTTGTATTAGAATATATAAGAGAGAGAGAAAGAAAACAGCTCCAAAATGAGAAAAAACCACAGGTAAAAAAAAGAAGAAAAAAGCTGAATGAAACAAGTACTCATAGAATTTGTGAATATCATTGAAATACCGAGAGAATAATATGCGAAAGGTATTCACGAATAGAATATTCTTTTCCTTTAACCTGAGTTTAAATGTCGAGTAAATATGTAGACACTTATGATGATGTATCTTAAAAGTTGCTCGAAGTGACAAGACTATAAGTATATCATATGAAAGAAAGATATGAAATGATAAATGTTGATGATGACGATAAAAATGATAATGAGAAGAAAAAGAAAAAGAAAAAAAAAATAACAACAAGAGAGAAGAGAGAAAAACAAAAAAAAATTGATACACTGGATTTAGAGAGTAGATTTCAATGAATACCATGTAAGATGAAATCCCCTACCGAATTCAGTGAAGAAAGAAAATGAAAGAGAGCAGATGATAAGGATGATGATGATGATGATGAAGGAGGTAAATAATGCTAGAGTTACAGGATGAACTGTTATCATACCCACCCCAACCTCTGTTACTTTATATAATAATATACACTTCATGTCAACAGTATATCTTTTTGTTTTCTTGTTCAGTCATCATGCACATCCAACCATGATATTTACCCTTCATCATCATTGGAATAATATTATAATTATTGTTATTTAACATTGATACAGAACAACAAAAGTTGTCGAAAAGGTGAATTAGTTGTTAATAATTACCAATTTCTAGACAATCTCATGGTGATTTTTATGTTCCTGTGATTTTATTTTGATATTTTAACCTGAGTTTTGATTAAGATTTTCTTACATGATACTGAATAGTCAAGCTTATTAAAGAGGATGATCATAATAACCATGAAATTATTATCTTCATCATCATCATGTTGGTTTATTTACAAGACAAGATGGATAATACAAATAATAGATAAAGGGAACTGATGATGATGAGGATTATTGATTATTATTATTAATATTTATGTATTAATATCTTGATAAAATAGACCAATAAAATGGTAAATGTAATAACATGTTACTTGTGTATTATAATCATTAGTTTGATTTCTTATCAATTGATTGCAATTATCATTGTTCTCGGTAATAGTACTTTAGTTTCATGACAATTTGTAAATTGTTCACATCACAAATTGACATTTTGCTGACCAATATCTTCGCCTAATCTACACTATTATTGTTCATTGTTTTCATCCCATGGGATGTGTAATTAATGGTTACTTGTGATGTAACTCAAGTTAATCCTTGTACTTTAAGTGTAATTAACTGTAGATATTTACATTTTGAGGATAGACTTGAGATTAAATAAGATATCGTTGGGATTAATATAATGAAAGGATATGAAATTGAGTCTTCTTTTAATAAACCTTAAATTTCAACAGCTCAGAAGTGAATATGACATAGTTAACATACAGAATTATCTACTTTCATTTCAGAGCAAAAATTGATAATTATTTCATATCAGCTTTGCAGAACTTAAAATATCAACATCAACGAATCTCGGTAAATTCCGTGACCATTGAAACGATGAGAATTCAAACTTGAATGGAAAAAGTTGATACACAATAAGATTATTAACATTTATCACGAGCTGTTAATATTCAATATTGTTAATAACCATTGACAAAGTATAATCTTATATACACATTGTCTTATCCAGAGTAAAACAATGGATATACTTAGTATATGTTTATTTAGATTATCATGAATGGTGAATTTTAATTGCAACGTATTTAAAAAAAGTGCCTTAAGTGTTTCATAATTTAAGTTTAATTAGAAAGTTAAATATCAAGTTAAAAGATAATAACACAAAGACAAGTTGATGATCATAAGTGTATCATCATTATCATTTTACAGACAAGAAAAGGAGACAATGGAAAGTGATTTGCATAGTAAAAGCGACCAAGAAAATTGCTTATGCAAATTTGACTTTTTACCCCTGAAAATTTCGTGTCATCTTCTTATTTATCTTTAGATTCACCAAATATTCAGAGAATGAAAAGAAAATCACATGCAAAGGTATAACAAAGTTTCACTCATACAGATAACTTATTACACTTCATCTTAAATTCTAATTAAATGTTTAAGTAAAAATTATAATCAACTTGATAAATTGAAAACTTTTCTCACATAACTGAGTTGTTGTTTTTTTCTCGCCGGTAAAATTAAGTAACTTTGGATTGAGCTAAAGTAAGAAAGTTTCTCTTACACTTTCAGTTTCATTGACACTGATGGTTATACTGATTGTGCAAATTTCTTTATGATTAATTTGCTATCATTTTCAGTCCTTGGATAAAATTAATGATCATTGTAGCTAAAAATGACCATGATCTTTAGTTAATCAGCATCAAACGTACGAAATGACCATAAATCAAATTTCATAAATTACCTTGGACATTTCATTGGTCATAGACTAGAGATGAGATTCAGGTTGACTTAACAATGGAAAGAATATAAAACAATTAATATTGATGATATTCACATATCATACAAGGTAAAACTCGAGAATGGGGGAACAATATATATACGAGAATACTGATCGTTACGAAAAGGTAACAGCAATTGTGATAGAGAAGATGAAGTCTTATTGTAAAGTGAAAAAAAAAGTGATACTAAAGTTGATAGAGAGTCATAAATATCCATTATATTAACAATGTGACGATATAACAGCAATATAATGAACATCAAGAATCTAATAGGAAATAATAATGACGATCATTATTATAACGGTAAATGTTTAGGTATGAGAACCAATTGAAACTATAAAATAGTTCATTGTAGACGTTGATTTATC